AAAAAAAAAAAAAAAGAAAAGAAAAGAAAATGCCAACTCGTGGCCCGTTATGCCAGCATCTGCCAGCAGAATGGCATTATGCTCATTGAGGAGCCTGAGTTCCTCACCAGTGGGGACCATGACTTGAAGCAGTACCAGCATGTAACTGGAAAGTGCTGGTCCTGTGTACAAGGCTCTGAGCGACCACCTCATCCACCTGGAAGGCACCTTGCTGAAGTCCAATATGGTCACCCAAGGCCACGCCTGCACTTGGGTGCAGAAGTTTTCTCACAGGAGACTGTCATAGCAACCATCACAGCGCTGCACTGCACAGGGGCCCCCCACCCACCCCTGGTCCCTGGGATCACCTTCTTGTCTGGAGGCCAGAGAGAAGAGGAGGTGTCCATCAACCTCAATGCCATTAACAAGTCCCCCCTCCTGAAGCCCTGGGCCCTGAACTTCTCCTATGGCCAAGACCTGCAGACCTCTGCCCTGAAGGCCTGGGGCAGGAGGAAGGAGAAACTGAAGGCTGCACAGGGCAGTATGTCAAGTGAGCCCTGGCCAACAGCCACACCTGACAAAGAAAGTACACTCCAAGCATTCAGGCCAGGGCTGCTGCCAGTGAGTCCCTCTTCGTCTTTAATCACACCTGGTAAGCAGACATGTTCCCAGGCTGCCACTCAGCACTCCAGGCCCCGCCCCCTCCCAGACTCTCTTGAAGAGGGGGCCTCCTCCTTCGAGCTCCAGGCTGGCTTGCCCATGCTCCTGCCTCCCTCTTGACAGTGGTGTGCAGTGTTGTCGGTGAATGGCTAACTCCATCACCCTTGCCAGCACGCTGCTAATAAACATCTATTTAAGGGGGAAAAAATAAAATAAAAATAAAAGCCAGGTGCAGTGGCTCACGCCTGTAATCCTAACATTTTGGGAGGCTGAGGTAGGTGGATCATGAGGTCAGGAGTTCAAGACCAGCCTGGGCAAGATGCTGAACCCCGTTCCCACTAAAAATACAAAAATTGGCCAGGCATGGTAGTGGGTGCCTGTAATCCCAGCTACTCAGGAGGCTGAGGCAGGGAATTGCTTGAACTGGGAGGCAGAGGTTACAGTGAGCCCAGATCGCGCCACTGCACTCCAGCCTGTGCAACAGAGAGAGACTCCATCTCAAAAACAATAATAATAAAATATAAAAATAAAAATATTTCCTGGGGCACAGAATAAAAAGAGTGAATTCTGGGGGCTGGGGTTGACATTTTCCATTTGCCTTGACCATTGGGTGGATACTCCGCCCAGCAGTCCCTGACCGTGATAGTGGTGGTGACGATGACGGTGATGTGGACTCGGTGGGAGGGAAACAAGGCCCCAGCGTCATCCCTGAGATGGGGCCTGACCTTGCCTCAACTCCGGCTGCTCAGGGCCACGGCGAGGGATAAGATGAGTTTGTACTGTAGCTCTGAGGAGGGAGGGAGGGAGGGAAAAGGGAAGGAGGGGTAAGGAGGAAGGGTTAAGGGAAGGAGGGGTAAGGGAGAGAGAAGGAGAGAGAGAAAGGGAAAAGAAGATGGGGAAGGAGGGAAGGACAAGGGAGGAGCAAGAGGGGAAGAAGGAGAAGGAAATGGGCCAGGTGGGGTGGCTCATGCCTGTTATCCCAGCACTTTGGGAGGCCGAGGCAGGCAGATCATGAGGTCAAGATCAAGACCATCCTGGCCAACATGGTGAAACCCCATCTCTACTAAAAATACAAAAAGTTAGCTGGGCATGGTGGCACACACCTGGAGTCCCCAGATACTCAGGAGGCTGAGGCAGGAGAATCACTTGAACCCAGGAGGTAGAGGTTGTAGTGAGCCGAGATCGTGACACTGCACTCCAGCCTGGGTGACAGAGGGAGACTCCATCTCA